CTTTTCATGATCTGTTGGCCATCTGTATGTCTTCTTTGGGAAAACGTCTATCTATTCTGTTCCACTGCTCATTTTTTAATTGGATTTTTTTGCTATTGGGTTGCAAAGATTGCTTATATATTTTGGATATTAATGCCTTATCAAATACAACATTTGCAAATATTTTCTCCTGTTCTGTAGACTGCATTTTTATCTTTAAGTCCTGAGGGAGACCAACTACAGTTTTAAGGTTTCAGAGAAGGGGGCCTTGAATATGAATTTAGGGGGATGGCCAGGGTGAAGCCTTTGTGAAGGACTTCACACCTGTTGTTGGTTGTGATCTATCTTGGCAGGTGCACAGGGCAGACTAAGAAAGCAGGAGTTTGCAGGTGGAATAAACAGTCATTAGCAAGGCTGAGAAGTGGACAGGCCCTCAGGCGGGGGACTAGAGTGTGTTTAGAGAGCAGTCTGGCTGCACGTCACACGGACAGGTGGGAGGACAGAGATGAGGACGCTGACGATGACAGCGTGGAGACACACTCCAGGCTGGCGGGCTGGGACAGGGGAGCTTCAGGAGACCGGAGCAGGGAGTGAAGGTGAACACAGTCATCTGCACAATGGTTAGCAAAGGGCCAGCCAAAGGAGGAGAAAAGTCACATGGCTACTGGAATGTTCTACATAACAAGGAAGAGGGTGACAGATTCAGATGATACTAAAGGCTGCAACCAAAGAGTTATTCTGACCCACCAAAAGGTAAATGCATCTGTCATCAGGTGAGCCTAAATATGAACTCTCCTCTTTTCCCACAAATAGCAGGCAGAGCACGGTCAGTAATCGCAAAGAGTGAAACAGCTAATGTTCACTGAAGGTCTCCTGTGTGTCAGGTTCAGGGCTCAGTGCATTATACATCTTATCTCAGTGAAATCTCTGGATCAAGCCATTCTGAGGGCTGTGCTTTACAATAATCTATTCATACGTGAAAAAACCTAGGTTCACAGAAGTAAGTTGACATTCTATGATCAAAGAATAGGTAGTAAAGGGGGTAAATAACCATGCAAATATTAATTAGAATAGCACCTACTATTTGGGAGAAACAATGATGAACAGAGAGATACCGTCTGAGCCGACGTGTTCAAAATCAGACCCAGCTCCTAAGCTCTTCCATTCCTTCCTTCCACCACTGCTTTCCACTCATACAAAAAAGTCCCTGGTCCGACTCAGTTACAGCATGTGGCAGATGCCACGTTGTGCCCACACCACTGATATTAACCTTCATTTTAATTATTTTAAAAGTCATTATTACTTGGCTGAATGATTTGTTTTCACCCTTCCTTTTAAAATATTGATGATAACAGGAAGTCACAGTACTTTGTGCTCAACTGCTCATTACTCACAGCTTAATCAAGAAAAGCTGATACCAACTCTCAAATCAATGTAAAGGAACAGGTTGCAGAAAAACCTGGGCCTTCTCCTCACTTCTGCAGTCCCCCCTCTCCTGAAGCAGAACAGTTACTTTAGCTCCAAAATAAGCTGCCAGGTATCAGAATACAGAGGACAAAAATCTATATTTGTCAAAGTCCTTAACTGGAACAGATCACACTAGAAGAAGTGGTCCATGAATAATTTACATATTTTATATGCAGGATATTAAGAATGGAAATATACGTGAATCCTATGACAATTAGGAAACATTTCTTCACTCACTTAATAAATATTAATTGAGCACTTACTAAGCCTGAGGAAATGTTATAAAGCTTGTGAAAGACACAGAAATTACTAAGACAGGATACTGCTTCCAGATATTTCAGTGTGGCAATGCATAAGACCCGAGAAAGCCAAACACAATTCTAGTTTGGGCACGTAGTTGTTGGGAGAGAGTTCTCCATGGGTCTCTTGCACTTCTGCATGTACTGAGAGTGAGGCGCCGACTGTCCTCTGTTCTGAACTCTCCTTTTAAGGATGTTTCTATAACAAACAACTCTGAATGACAGAGTAGTATCTCCCTTTGGAGCAAAAGGCAGTTTTGCATCCAATCCTGGAAGATACAGTCTAGTATGCTTACTGTCAAGTATAATAATGTCTCTCTCCAGAGCAAAGGACAACAATATTTCCTACCCATTATAAAAGATTTGGGTTCCCTAAGCTCAATGATCCTCTCCTATAATGCAATTGGCCTTCTTCCTGTCACCGTGTGGGAACTGGGGTTTGGGGAAGAGGTACAAGGAAGCTCAGTTTCAGATACTGCTGTTGCTATGAAGAATAAACTGTCCTTTGTCTCTGATTGAGGAGTCTTATGTTTCTACCAGCATGTATGAAACTGTGGTAGTCCTGGCTTGCAAGTAGGGTACGTCAGAGATCTTTGACAATTCTTGACAGTGGTAGTTTGCAAATATGGCCACAAAGTCTTCCCCCTGTTGCATTTATAGCCTTTGGTACACCTCTTACACTGACTCTGGGCTTGGCCATGTGACTTTCTAGATGAATGGGACATTAGTGAACATGGTACAAACAGAAGCTTGAAAAGTACCTGTGCATTGAGTCTTGCCCTCTTCACATGAGTCTTGTCATGTGAAAAAGCCCAGGCTGGTCTGTTCATGAGAAATACATGCCCAATGTCCCCTACCACCCCAGTCAAGAGCCTATCAACCACAGACATGTGAACAAGGCCAACTCAGATCATCCAGCCTCCAGCCAAATCTCCAGTTAACCGCTTATTTGAGAATGAATCCAGCATGGATCAGCAGAGCTGACCGACCGAGCAATTATACAACTTCTAAGTTTTGAGGTGGTTTGTTACACAACAAAACCTAACAACAGATACATGGTACAGGCTCAAGCTATGGGTAAATACTGAACTTCAGCACTTAGCACGGTGCTTAGAAAAGAGGCGTGCCAATTGCTTCAACTTTGTCTTGGTTTATCGATCAAAACAATCAATACACAAATCACTTAATTCTCCTCTCACAAACAGGCGACAAAATGAAGGAAGTGTGCATGAATCCAGCAGGACATGTGGTTAAGTGGTAAAAGCACACTGGGTACCCAAAGAGACATGCTCTGGTATGTGGAAATCAGGTCTTCTCCTTAATATCTGGCAGTCCTTGGGCAGGTTATTTAAGCATATCTCACTTAAGCTTCCTTATCTGCAGAATGGGAATAATAAAACTATCTTCACAGGTGCTATAGCACAGGTATTATAAAGGAGGCACTCTGTCTAACCTACCAGAGTGTCAGGGTCATGGTGGTGGAAGAGATGAAAAAGTGGGAGTAGCAACAAACACATTTGCAACATACCACTGTCCATATTTGTCCATATTTGCAAACACATTAAATGCCAACAAGTAAAATCTTTTGCGTTCACACACATGCACCCGCTCACATGCACAAAATCAAACCACTTCCCAAAATTAAATTAAAACCCAGTCAGGGGAGACTTCAGAGGAGAGCAGCAAGAGGGCTATACTATGGTACACAGACAGACAAAACTCCTGTTGTATAATGTGCCCGTGTTACATATAGCAATCCAAAGTAGGTTGTTTGAAATGCCCTCTGATTAACCTTTCTGGAAGACTAATGCCCAACCATTTAAGCATGTATAAAATGTATCATTATACTAATGCAAAGAAAGGTCACTTTTCATATATTCTGCTTTATTTCTACAGTTTAGAATTGTCCCTACTTTTAATTTCAGATAGACATTTTAAATAATTACCTCTTTATTCTCTACATTACTAAGTTTCACCACATTTAAAAAACTTTTTCTAAAAGTCTTTCTTTTATGATTTAGCATATTTGAAAATTCTCTTTCACTGCTGGTTTGCAATGGAGTACAGTTGATATTGTCTCTTAATCATCAAAAACAAGATTATTGAAACTATACAAATCAAACCAACAAATTGGCCATGGGTTTAAGTTGGTTTTTATGTCATTTTTGAGTCTTTCATAAGGGAAATTTCAAAAATTCATATATATATTCATATATTCTCATTTATATAGAGATTGTATGCTGTTATGTTTTGAAAATACTAACCAAAATAACATTGAAAAGAAAATTAAATAATGTATATTCAGAAATTAATATTTTAAAATACTCTGGTTAGTGGTTTTCAAGATTTTCCTTCTTATATCCATGTAAGAGGTAAAACAGCACGTTAGTTAAGAGTCAGGCATGGATGCTAATTCCACTTAGGAACCGTGTGACTTATTACGTAACCTCTGAGTTATCACAAATTACTTAATCTCTAACATTCGGTTTCCATGTATGTAAAATGTTGCTTTTGAGAGTACATGTATGTGATTATAAAATGGGTTGCGAGGATTAAATGAGATATGCACATAAAATCCTTTCTCTACCACCTGAGTCACAGGAAATACTCAACAGATGGCATTTAACTAGTTATAATGATACTGTACACATTCATCTTTAAAAAACAACAATAAACATGTCACCATATCTCATTAGCCACTAGAAATCAAACTCCAAAGTCTGCTAAACAAGACAACATGTCTTCTTCAGCCACATGGACCCACATGTCCACCAGAAAGGCCCAGGAGCCAACCGCATCTCTGTCCCTGGGGCAAATACTTGAAAGCACTCAGACCCGGACATGCACAGAAAACAAAGAATCAGAAGCGCTGAACATCTTTAGGAACTTTGCCTGCTTTAACAAATTGTTTTCAGATCGTCCTGCTCTTAAATCTAAGAGCATCCTGCCCCTGCCCCACACCCTGTGATGAAGCACTACTGTCACACACTTTCCTGTGGCCGTCAAACATCACATGCCCCTCAAACATCACATGCCCCTCAACCCAGCCGCAGAGAGGTCTGGAGGTGCCCCTGGAGGGACATCTGGATATCCAGCCAGGGAGGATCCCAATAGGGCCCCAGTCTCTTTCTGCCCAGGAAGGGCCTCAGCATTCACAACTCTGGGCACTATCATTTAATTAGCTGGTGACACGTCAGGAAATTTTACGTCCTCTGTTTAACTGACACCTTAGGAGAAACAAAGCACCGGACTCACCCGGAAATAGTCGCTGCAGGCCGCCAGGACCGCCTTGTGAGCGTGGAACTTCTGCTCCTCGGCGATCAGCGTGACATCGCAGAGGATGCCGTCACTTCTCTGCTGGTTCAGCGCGGCCAGGACACTGTCGTTGTGAGATTCCGAGTGGCAGAGCCTCTGGCCTGTCAGCATCTCTTGAATACTAGAAGGACAGCAATCAGGCAGGTCAGCGATGGCGCTCACCAGCCCGGCTCCGCGCTCCGCGCCCGCAGCACCACGCAGGCAAGTGGGCGCCTGCGCACTTCAGCAGCGGGGTTTCCTGGTCCCCATCTGCTTTCTCTCTGCCACGCTCTTGGCCTCCTTTTCTAGAATTCTTTCCTTACCCCTCAGGGTTCTTCTCTTTCTGAATCGTGTTAGCACGTGTCCACCTGTGTCTGTGCGTGGACCCCCGTCCATGGGGCCGTGAGCTCTGCTTCTCAGCCTGTCCCTCAGCGTGCGGACAGCTCTGAGCGAAAGTGTATCACACTGTGCACGTCTGCGGGGACGCTGTCCCCTCCACAGCCCCTCCCAAACTCCCTGCCTCCTTCTCTGGCCTTGTACTTTGGTGTGGGGATAACACAAGCCCAGCAGGCCATCACGGCCATGCCCTGACCCGGCACAGAACCTGTGGGACAGGCCTGACTCACCGGAGACTCAGGGAGTCACCATGTCCCCCACAGCACACAGTACCCCATTAACAGATAAAACTGAGCAAAGGTGGGTTAGAGAAGACAAGGCTGTCAGTGACCATTCCATGTAAAAAGCAATTAGTTGATCCCTGGCCAATTTGGTTCAGCAGTTGGAGTGTCCGCCTGAGGACCAAAGAGTCACAGGTTCGATTCTGGTCAAAGGCACAGGCATGTACCTCAGTTACAGTTCATCCCCGGCCCTGGTTGGGGTCATGCAGGAGGCTACCAGTCAATGTGTCTCTCTCACACTGATGTTTCTCTCTCTCTCTCCCTCTCTTCCTCTCTCTCTTTACCCCTCCTTCCCACTCTATCTGAAGATAAATAGAAAAATATCCTTGGGTGAGGATTAGAAAAATAAAAAAGCAATTAGTTAAACCATAGCTGCCAATTATTAAAGTTAGGAAATTATAAACATTTAAAGAAAGGCCACTGTAAGTGAAAAAAAATTTAAGACTGAAAGTAAAATACATCTATAATTTCAGCCATCAATGTCTATATGTGATCACTGTGGGAATGATTATACAATTTAATTTTCTGTTCTGTTTTTTGAAGTTGCTAAATCTACCCATTGTGAAACTTGACCCCCTTCATCCCCTACCCCATTCTAAATACTCTTCCCATGCCCTTTCAAAACTCCTGGGTGAAACCCCAGCTCTTCCTAAAATAATATAAAAGTAACACCATAAATACAAAATGCAAACTGCATTTGTAGACAGCTATGAACAATTCCAGCCTAAATGTATGAAAATCTCCACAGTGCTCTGCACTCTCACAGCTGGTACTGGACTAAGGTGGGTGCGCTGCGCCAGTCATCAGTGACACCCAGGACAAGAGCAAGGGCCCCCAACCCCTGTTTCAAGCCTGTGACTCTCTGTCAAGCTGTGTAAAGATATCATGTAGATGACTGAGCATCGTCTCTCTTATCCTGACAACCCCTGGATCCACTCCCTCCCTCTGAGTGTGAAAGAGTCGCTCAGGTGGTTTAGGGAGTAACCACTGGCCCAGTCTGCTGGGTTAATTTCTTTGACAGGGTTCTGCCCAGTCTGTGGTGCCAGTTGGCTGATGGATTAAGATTTAGCACGAATCATACCACCTGAAGGTGAAGCCATGCTTCCTGTGAAATGCCTGAGTGCAGCCAGTGAGCTGTACTGGGCATTTCTGACTGGGGAGCCTCAGAAATGTCAGAACTACTGGAAGAAATAAAAACTTGACAGGGGGCGATGATACAGGATGTTCTCGTGGGAAGGTGGGGGGATTGTTCTCAGTTGAAATGCGGCAGTGCATTTTGAAATGGTCACTGCCACTGAAGATTCATCCAGTGGCTCTAGTTCTTGCAGACTTTTTAAATCAGCCATTGAAAACCACATTCAGAAGCATAAATAACTTTTTGCAAATTTCTATGCAAAGTCTAAAATGGAGATTAATTAGCATGGCTTGATTGAAGAAATAAAGAATACAACAGTAACAAAAATACTGTACTAGCTAAGTAAAACTTTAAAAATGCTTTTTGGAAATCTCTCCTAAATAAAAGAACATTTTTATATACTTTACAAACTCGAAGCTCTTACTATATTCTATGAATTACTCTTAGTGATTTATTATTATTAATTCACTTAACATTCACAACAACCCTATGAGGCAGGTACTATCATTGTCTCTATTTTACAGATAAAACCAAAGGTCCAAGATCAGGCATTTTGAGAAACTATTCGTGAAGGACACAATAATGTAAATTCATTCTCCTGCTTAAAAAACAAACAAGAAAGATTTTTAAAAAGTGATTATAAAAGATATCAAGAATTTATGATTACAAGGGAAAAAATCACAAGGTCTACAGTAATTTTATATTTATTAAGTATTATGCATTGTTAATCTCAAAATCAAAGTTGCCTTTTTAAAATAATATACGTGAACGTATTTACATAAGATAGTGATAAGAAATGTTTGAAATTATGATTCAAAACATTTATCTTTGCACTATAACTAAGATAAGTTTTAGACCAAAGAATAGATTTTTATGAGCTTAAAAATTTATTTGAAACTCTTATAACTTTTCTCCTTTTTAATATCACCTTAAATGCTTAATAAATGTATTTTGAAATGTCATTTGTAGTGGAACAGAAGAATATATTAAAATAATTGCCTTAAAAGGTTTCCTTACTCATTTTCCAAATATAGTGTCACAATTCATGTCCTTTTATTAAGACGGAATCTGTATTTGAATTTCAGATATCAACTGATAGCGAATAAACCTTGCCAGGAAAGAACAGCTATAAGCTGACATTTGACAAAGAATAAAGAAACAATTGTGATGCTGCACAATCTCATGGGTTCATTCAGCTGGGTTTGAAATATTCAAGCTTAAAGAAAACAGCATGCTAAATATTTAAGGCAAAACTTGGCTCAAGATTCCAAATATTTTGGAACCAATGTGTTAGGAATTCTTAAAAGCAGAAACAAATACTACAAAATATGGCAAGAAATAAATGTCTATTAATCAACAAGTCATTATTGTAGTTTGAAAGTAACTTCCCACTCAGTCTCTGATGTAAATCTGTAAAAGACCTCAGCCCTCTAAATGTTAAGGCACGTGTGGGATAGAACACAGCTGGAAGACGGCAGGCCCATTTGAAGTCAATAATCATAAACCAGGAGGAGGTGAAACAAAGACTATAATGCACCATGTCCACATTAAGATGGGGAGGAAACACATGCTTGCAAATGGCTCCCTTGGCATCTATAACTTATACTAAATCAGCACACTAAACCTCCCAACTTGGAGCAATGCCCCTCCATTATTCGGGGAACAAAGAAGGAAGGAAAAGCATATTCCTAAAACTTCCTAAATTACTGAGAAAGAATGAAACATGAAGCACATTTCCCAATGGTACACAGATCTGAGTGTCATCCTAGAACTGGGAAAGGTCTTCCACGTAAGTAATGCTGCCATTTCAAAATTCACAGGTGAACACAGAGGGTGACTGGCTTCCCCAAAGCAATCTCAACAGCCTTTCCTCTGGGAGACCCCCTAGAACTGTTCTGTCCAATACAACAGCCGCTGCACGGTGGCTATGGACCACCGGAGTGAGGGCAGACCTAGCCGAGATGTGCTGTAAGTGTAAAATGCACACCGCATGACAGATGTAGTATATAAAAAAAATGATTCCCAAATATCTCATTCATATTTTTCTATTGATTACATATTGAAATAATATTTTGGATATCCTGGATTAAATGAACTATATAGCTCAAATTCATTTGTTTCTTTTTGCCTTTTTAAAAAATGTGACTCCATGAAAAATTTAAATTATAAATACGCTTTGCACTATGGTTCTATTAGACAGTATATAAGTTTTCAGGGAGACGTGTCTCTCATTTCTTTCCACCTGAACTCTAGAAGAGCATCAGGCACCCTGTCAGGCTGCCAATGAGCACGGCTGTTCCCGTACCACACCAGGCCCAGACTCCAGGTTACAACAGGGCAAGCCCCAGACTCCCTAAGCAGCAGATTGCTTTTAAGTGATGCCAGGGAGCAACCATTTTATTGGCCATATGTCAGCATCCAGTAACAGGAAGATAAATAAATGATGTCTTAGGGAACAGGGCCATTCATGACTTCAAGTCTTTAAATTTCATTCTGAAATTGATGGCAAAACCAAGGAAATCAAATGCAGAATGTGATGTTCATGACATGGTCTCCCTTTTCCCCTCCAAACAGTGAAGCACTGCTTTAGTGCAAATCACTAATTCAAGTTTGTAGAGTTAACATTTTTGATCACAGACATCTCACAGAGTCCAATTTTCATAGCATACATTTTGAGTGAGTTCAGTCAGTTTTCAAGATTTAAATTCCAAACAGCTGTTTGGTATATAAACCTCCTGCATTTCTAATTTAAAAATTCAAGTCAGTTTCTATATCAATGTGTAGCTAGTATTTATATTTATAAAAATATACAAGTGGTTTTCAAGTAAGGCAACCAATAAGGAATTATGTACTTACATATCAAAGGCAATCAAGTAGCATAAAGAGCCTCATTTTAAAGTAGACTACACAAGAAAGCAAAAGACCAAACAAAGTACCTGATAGTACCAGAATTACTCATGGTTGTCTCAATCCAGTCTATTGATGAACTATGAAGTGAATACCCTAATAACTTCATTTCCACAGTAAAAATATTTGTATAAAAATTAAATACATTAATATTAAAACAACCCTAATTACTTAAGTAAAAGACCTTATAATAAAACTTCATTTTATTTTTTATAGAACACTTTATAATTTGTAAATACTTTAAAATAAATGCTAACAATTAATCAGCAATGGTTAAAATAATAAGCAAAGAAGACAGAATATACTTACAGAAGGATTAAGAAATAAGAAGACTATGAAGAAACTTAACTAAAATTAATAATTTTGTTTCATTCCTTCCTTCCTTCTATTCATTCATTTATTCATTCAAGAAACATTTATGCATCCTGTGCCAGGTATTGTGCTAGGTCGTGGAGATGAAATGGTGAACAAACCAAACTTGCTGCACCCCTTGTGGAACATTCAGTTTAGCAAGACAGTCACATATTAATCAAATAATTTGGCCTCCCTGAAGAAATACAGCTGGGGCGTTGGGCTTTAGCAAACAGGAGAGAGAAGAGTTTTCCAGGCAGGAGAAAAGCAAGTCTTACAGTCCCATGGCAGGAAGGAGCATGGCCCTCACGCAGAATGTGAATGGCTAGAACCCTGAGGACAGGGGAGGACGTGGTAGAACACCTGGAGCTCAGCAAGCAGTGTTGTCTAGAAGTGCAAATCAGTGACTCATCTCCATAGAGAGGGTAACAGAAGCACAGCTGTGTCTCCAGAACATGGTTGAGAGAAAATCCACAGTCAAAGGTTGCTGAGAAGATAAGACAGAATTTAAAACACAGAAGCAGGGCTGGACTCAGTTGTGGGAAAGGACTGCCCTCTGCACCGCAGGAGAGAGGGATTAAGTGGACCAGAAACATGTTAAAACTCTGGGTATTTGGGGCTTGTTGAATCTAAAGATTTAGTGGAACTAATCTCTACTTCCACTGGACCATGTAGGCATGGAAAAGTAGGTAACTGAGCTCATCTGCATTGAGATTTTGTCAGGCAAATGCATTGAAAATGCAGAGAGTGAGAGAAATTAGGGATATAAAAGCATGGTAGAATCTCAACTGGACTGGAAGGGAAATGAGGGGAAGAACTGATCAATGGATTAATAGAAAACAGCAGGGCCAGGAGATAAGACACTGCAAAGAGATCCCAACCATGATGGAGGTATCTGGAGCTATCTAGAGGCAAGCTAGAAGGAGAAGTGGTCCCGGTAAGAGTAAAGTGGTTGACATTGTGGTTTCAGAAATAGAACAAATACCGAGGATGCAAGGTCCAAGGTGTGACCACGGGAGCGGGTGGCTCAGTGAAGAGAGTAGGTCTTTGGAGATAAGCAGGGTGAAGATCCAAGGTCATGAAGTTAGACAGATGCTCCATGCAAACATTGAGGGCACCGGGAAGTTGTAAAGGATCTGTGATGAGAAAGAAGACTGAAAGCCAGGTGTCAAATGCTCAGTGAACGGAGGAAAATGACCCGGACAGCAGTGGAGAGGAGAGGGTGCGACAGCGGAAGAGCACCACCTTCAGAATCAAATCTTAGTTCCTTTTGCGGTTACTTTCTCAAACAACCAGTCTGAGGAGTAATGATCTCAAAGCAAAACAATGTCCCAGGGTGGCAACACTCTCTCTACCTAGCCCCCAAATACCTGAGAGGTGAGGAAATAACTGAGAGGTGCCCACCTGAGAGGGTACCAAGAAAAGTGATGCTTCAGGAGAGAGCAGGTCTCAATGAAGTCAGGAGGTGAATAGAGCTTTCAGGGGGAGGGAGATGATAACAGTCCTACAGGACACAGGGGAAGTTTGGAAGGCGAGGGAGGGAGGGCTCTGTGTCACAGCACCCAAGGAAGATGTAGAGATGACAGTGCCATGGAGGGCAGGTGCCATGGGAGTTGATTAGTACAAGCAGAGATGGCACACACACTCTGACTGGATTGCTTAACTCCTTCCAATATGCGTTGCGCCCCTGCTCTGCCCGTGGTCCTGGATGTGCAGAGCAAACACTGACGGACTGACCACACCAAGCAGGACATAGCCTGCGGGGCTGACCTGAGGCAGCGTTCAGACGGCATTCTCCAGCTGGGTTCCTCGCGTCTCAGCCTTAGACGTTTGCAGCAGAACTGGCAAGCATTCCAGCTGAATAAAAAGATTAGAAAGAAAAGTACAGTGAGCGAGATGAAAAAATTCACACTTTGGGCCTTTAGATTCCTAAGGAGTGGTATTTTTTTTGTTTTGTTTTGTTTTTGGTTAATTCTCACCAGAAGATATTTTTCCACTGATTTTAGATAGAGTGGAAGGGAGGAAGGGAGAGAGAGAGAGAGAAAGAGAGAGAGAGAGAGAGTAACATGGATTTGAGAGAGACACATCTACTGGCCGCCCCCTGCATGACCTCAACCAGGGCTGGGGACCGAACCCGCAACCCTTCAGTCCACAGGACGATGCTGTAACCCCTGAGTCAAACCAGCCAGGGCTCCTAAGGAGTTTTTTTTTTTTTTTTTTTTTTTATCCTCACCCGAGGACATTTTTCCATTTTTTGTTCCGGTAGAGTGGGAGGGAGAGAGAGGAACAGAGAGAGAGAGAGAAACATCGACGTGAAAGGAACACATCGAGTGGCTGCCACCCGCACAACCGACCAGGGCCAGAGACAAACTACAACCGAGGTATGTGCCCTCAGCGGGAACCGAACCTGGGTCTCTCTGTACCGCAGGCCAACGCTCCAACCGCTGAGCCAAACCGGCCAGGGCCTGAATGCTCTTTTAATAAACAATAGCTCAAAACGTGTGTAAGTGTCTAAGTTTTTTACTTTATTGGAACTTCAGGGACTAAGAAATAAAATGTGTTTGAGAGCCAAGAACAGCTACATTAAGGGTCATAGTAAAAATGAAAACATCAGATGGACAAAGTGAAAAACTCACATTTGATAAAATAAAGAGACAAAGTTATAAACCACAAATGCTAATTCACATATCCTTTATAGCAATTTTACTTCTCTTCCTAACATGAATATTCATGAAATGAAGATAAAACCAAGTATGTATTGGCTAAGCATCTACAGGAAGAAGATTTTCTATTCAAGGAGCAGATTTCTGAAAACTAGATAAAAAATAACACACAGAGAGGATGAACATTAGTAGAAAATAGAAAACAGGTTCTCAGAAGAGCTTTAGGATTAGTATAGTTGGAAACATATAATAGGATGAAGTTATCAAACTTGAAACTGTTCCTTGCCTATACATTCATTTAGTCCCACCCCAGCCCTCTAGCCCCCCTCACAGCCTTTGTTTTCAATCACTGGTGTAACTCTAAAGAGAAAATTAAATTATTTGAATAGTCTGGCACATGCTCCATGACTATGCTTTACAGCTCTCATTAGAGAGTCTAGCACCTACTTTCTAACACACTCAAGTGGCAAAATTAATTCCAACTTGGAAAATCTTAAACAGGCTCCCTTCTGCCTCAATTATATTTTGAAAAGCAATAACAGGGTAAAAACACTTATGAAAGGAATATGTTAAGCTATGCCTATTTCTGCTGATTTTTACAAAAGAGAGAGCTATGATTTCCAATCTCACTCAAATACAGTATTTGCTATAGTGGATACAAACCCTCAGTTGGGTATAGTAGCTCATGTAGATATAATATGCTTAAGTATTCCATTGTTAAAGAACACCAGGTTATTTCGCCCATTATTCACACAATTATAATTTTTATGTCTTGTTATGTCTCGTTTTCTTTCTTCAATTATACTTATTAAAAATAGGATATCTATACTTTCATGTATTTCTAATTTGTTTTGATAAACTTAAAAATGAGCATCACTTTCAAGAGCTCCATTATGACTGAGCAGGACAGAGACTGAGAATAATTCAAAGCACATAGTTTTATTAGGTAAGAGACTTTCTTAGTAACCTTTCACTGGTACCATTTCCTTTCAAATCTAGGTGATCGTCTGCAGGCCAAACACTAACAGAGATGGTCACTTGAACTTTAAAATGGCAAAAGAATATTATTACAGAGAGGTGAGAAAAACTTAACCATTCTGAGAGTCAAACTTTTTTTGATTCTTTAAAATAGGCTTTTATTCAATTATAAAATGGAGACATTTTCTTTTTAGTTGCACAGAATATGTCTTCACTTAAATGCTAATGACAACATTATTCAAGGATCAACCTGGCATGTCATAACTCATCTGGAAAGCTGAATTTTTTTTTTTTTATCCTCACCAGAGGACATTTTTCCATTTTTTGTTCAGGTAGAGTGGGAAGGAGAGAGAGGAACAGAGAGAGAGAGAGAAACATCGATGTGAAAGAAACACATCGAGTGGCTGCCACCTGCACAACCGACCAGGGCCGGAGACAAACTGCAACCGAGGTACATGCCCTTAGCGGGAACCGAACCCGGGTCTCTCCGGACCGCAGGCCGACGCTCTAAGCGCTGAGCCAAACCGGCCAGGGCTAGAAAGCTGAATATTTTTAAATGCTCCCAATAACCAGGCAAATGAAGAACAAGCATCTTAAGTTAAAATCATCCAAACTTTCAGGACACATTGAACTTGATATTTTTCAGACATTCTAAAAATGATAATTAAAAATCACACAATAAATTCCCTTATTGTTTGAAAACCAACTCACAAAAGGAGCTATTTTTATACTAATTCTACCTTTCTCTAAAATTTTGATATTGTACTCATCATTAACTTTAAAATGTTATTTCTCTGCATCACTGAATTTCTTGGTACCCTCTTCAATTTTGCACATCATTCACCTCACCCTAGTTCCAGCTCTGCTTTCCGTCACACGGATTAGTAAACCAAGGAGGCAGTTCTGCAGGGAAAGAAACAGAAACAAGAACAAGCGGATGTACAGAGAAAAAGTTAGCGGTAAGAGGTGGCCGAGAGGACATTCTGGATTTTCCGTGCACTCCTGCTTCTGGCGTACATAAATAACCTAGATCCTTATAACAAATTCCAGGTTTTATTTAGGCTAACTCAACTGGGGATTAAAAGATTGCCAAGAAAACCAAGTAGAACCCTCCATAAGATTTTGTTTGGGGAAAATGGGGCACTTTGCTGCTATGAAAATACAGAAACACATGTATTCCTTTATTATGTTTATTTTAAAAACTAACCATCATTTAGGTTTTAAATATTGCTTGTATGGGAAAATGCAGCCCAAGAACTTCCCAGGAAACAGGTTTAAATAAGTAATATACACATTTTGGGGACATTTAACACTGTTTCCACTATAGTCTTTAAATGACCCAAGCTCCTGAAGACACAGTTTTAATGGTCTTTCCACCCAAATTCATTACATGAGAAGGCAAATGATGTCTGTGGCTTAGTGACCAACCACTGAATGTTAACAAATAATTTTTTTTTTTTTTTTTTTTAGTGAATAGAGAAAATTTACTGACTTCACTAAAAATAATTTAAAGACAAGAATATTTACGAAGACAGGAAAACATGTGTTAGCATTTTAAGTATCTTTTAATCAGCTTTCAAGCTTAGCTTAATGCACTGGGGAAGGGAAAAGGGATTTCCCTCTGCAGCATAACTACTACGAAAGAACAAGGCAGGATCAGTGCTTTCTGCCTGCCCGTGTAGCGTTTGGCTGTGGTACGTCTCAAAACATTTACTATCCCCCAAAAGACTAGTACCACAAACTTCAGTCTTTGTGGTTAAAAATGCAACTAAATAAGCGTAGCTTGCAAACACAAAGTAAAAAAATATTCTATAAAATGGAGCCATGTCCACATACCGACGTGTGGTTGTGATAGCTGGCCCACCGTGGGCCTGCTCACATCAATGTGTCTCCTGCTATTATACACACAACATTGAATCACACATAGGGATTTGCTTAGGTGACAGGTATGGAGGTGAATTTCAGTTTTTGCTAACATAGTTCACGTGCTACGTACTAATATTTTTAATGCCAAAAATATGTATGGCAGCAATCCTCCCGAGATTGTTCCCACGACCTCTCTGCAGCTTGGGATGATTCAGGCCCCCACGTCAAGCTCTCGAGCGGAAACTTGCACTCATCTTGGGAAATTCAGCAAGCATTTCTCGAACTACAGCAATGTTTCCACATTGTTGACATTATTCACTGGCCGCACCCTTGGGAAATGTTCATTGGTATATTCCCCTCTTTTACTGGTGAGCTTCTTTTCAAATATCTGTTTGGTACATAGGATTGATGGAATTTATTTAATCTTTATAGCTTTATTTTCATTAAAATGTTTCAAGGCTGCCCAAACTTCACTTAGAATGAGTTTTTTGAAGTGAACATTGAAAATAGTATTTTCAGAGAAAAAATATCTTTTAAACCATAACAGTATGAAAGGAAAAGAAATAAATGTAAATGTCTTATAGGTCTGACTTGATGAAGTGCAAAGAAAGACCAGATAAACTAATGTAGGTTAATATGATCTACAAGCATAAATAAAGTCCTAAAAGCTAAGCTATCTTAATTATTGGATGAACACCTATCCTACCAACATATAAGAAACTGGTTTATTTTTACTAACGTCATAGATTTATTTAATAACGTGTTAGTATTACACTCCTTTTAAAAATATTTGATGATTTCTGAAAATAGTTATTCTTGATCTCAGCAAGTTACAGAAATTAAAGGGAAGTATCACCAGATTTTAAGTAGGCAGAAGTAAAATGCAAGCAATAAAGAGGTGGTGTATAGGAACAAAGCCTGGAGATAGAAGAAATATGAATTTTAGGTGTAAGTCTTAACCATGAAATACTAATTACATTAGATGATTCTTCAGTATACTCAAGGGCTTGTCGACCCCAATTAACAAATTACATCAAATTAATATGTCTTGGAAAGAAATGTTGCTTCAAAGCATAAAATTAGGACATAGGCAATGGTCCCAATCACTACTTTATTTATGTATTACATATAGTGTTAACTTACCTTTAATTCTAATTATTTTATAAACAGGTATATTTTAACACCAGTAAAACAGTGTACTTATTAAAACAGTACATCATCATTCGGTGTCTAATGAATGATATTAGATATCTCTTTAATCGGAAAAGCAAACATTTGAGAAAAACCCACTGGCATACTTTCCTGCGTGGACTACTCGCTGCCAGAGATTGACAGGGCTGCTTGCCCTTC